CATATTATTGCCCCGAGAGGTTAGCCCGAGGGCCGTAGGCCCGAGGGCTAACCTCGAGGGGCAATAATATGCCATAAGGCCCGCAGCAACCATGCGATAACAAATTTATCACATGGCCCACAGAGCAGACCATTGGGCTGCTGTTGAAACTATCCCAAATGCCAACACATTATGACCACAATGTATATTGATGTGCTATCATTATCAAAACAGGAAAAATGAAGATATTTCTCCTACACCCTAACAAAAAGTCTGCTACAGGCCATCAGAGAGTATACAGTACTGAAAGACGGAGACAGAAAAAAGTGCCGGCACGGCATCGTCATGGCAATAGACATGGCAACCACAATAAAACACAGCAGAATCATAATTTCAGTTGAAAAGAGTGCTACCACTCAAGAGTTTCTTCATGTTTACATGTGTATCAGGAAGGTGTCAAATACAGTACTGCAAGTATTTGACGACTCCCTGGTGTGTAATTCTGAGGACAATTTTTCTTCTTTTTATCAGCTCCAGATAGCTGTATTTTTCATTGCAAAACATTCCTGAATTGTTGTGTTTGTTGTTCAAGCAAAGGTGAAGGCAGAGGACAGATGACCCTGGTAAGAGTTATGCGTGGCACATGAAGACCACACACAGGCAGTGACTTTTCGAGGATCTGAAAACGCACGATGCTGAGTTGAATTTATTTGTGTTATTTCAAATAATTGTTTGTGATCACAGTACCACATGTGCACATCGAGCAGAAATGAATCTTATCCACAAGCTTACCGACGGTCAGGCTGCCAACATGACTGAACAAATGATCCCTGCAAGCACCACACGGCAGACGTCCGAGGCCATGTCCATTGCCGGGACGTCCATCTCCAAAAACAATTCCATCTTCGTCTCAATGATACACTGCGACTCGTCGTAGAGTCGTACAGTCTACAGAGTCGTCGTAGACTCGTAGTACAGTCTAGTCACGCGATCACTGAAATAAACTATTTTTTTGCGGGCAAATAAACTATTTTTTTGCGGGCAATATCGCATATTATTGCCCGCGGCGCGAAAGGTGCTGATTCGCTGGAGTACGGGCAACAATCACGTGCCATGTGATAACTTTTGTTATCACTCTTCTATATCGACCTCCACTAATTCTCGTGATCCTTGACTGGTCCTATATTACCCATATCGCCGCAATATCGACCGCTTATGTCGACCGCTTGTATCGACCACTTAGGCATTGTAACCTTTCGACTTTGGAGGGACTTAGAAATTTTCTCTCCACTTCAAAAAGAAAAATTGAAAGAAAGAAGACAAAGGAAGAGAACAAGCAGGATTCGAACTCACAACAGTATGAATCTCAAGCAACCTCTTATACCACCCAGCCACTGTGCTGCAGATGCTGAACTCTGTTGTTCTTACAGTCTTGTACCCAAAATAGGCAACATCCTATGTCCACTATAGTGCAAATGCTATACTAAAAAGATTAAAATAGCTCCTAAAGGTTCAAATTTTGGGGTTATGGCAAAGGAATCGTGATAAATAGGATATTGACCTCGACTTCGGTCTATATGGGAAATATAGGCCTCGTAAAAGACCTCGGCGGACCTCGGTCTTTTACTCGGCCTATATTTCCCATATAGACCTCGTCTTGGTCAATATCCTATACATAATAATCATCAACAAAAACCTACAACAAAAAAGTCACTCAATAACTGCAAAGGCCGCTAAGTTCCCGTTGAGCTTGGATCTGCCAGCAGCTAGACCAGCTTTTCCCAATAAGCATACCGTTAAAGGGGAAGTTAAGGCAAAAATTAAAATTTCACCAGTTGTAGTCTTCGGGGTGCTGAGTCGAATGGTCGTGGTCCGAGGAAGCTGAGACGCTCCCTTCCTACTTGAATCCCAATCGAACTCGCGCACTTCCACCGAAACTGGGTGACTGCGCCCAACTAGATGGGGATTTGTATGCAAAATGTCACTAAAAGCGCCATTTCGTTCTTATAAAAGCACGGATGACCGCGATTGGCCCATATGTTGTAGTCTTTTGGACGCTGAGTCGACTGGTTTTGGTCCGAAAAGGCTGCGATGCAGCGTTCCTCCTTTATTCCCAATCGAACATGGTTGAAGAAGCGGTCACGTGCTCCTGCGTACACCAGTCACCTGGTCACCGTGCCTGCAGGGTACAACTTACTAGCCTGTTTGACCTTTTTTGGGTGCAGTCCTGTCACTCGAGTTGAACCCGAGTTGAACCTTGGTGTGAAAGTTGTCACCTGCTGGCGTGGTGACCAGGTGATCTGGGCACCCAGGACCACGTGACCGCTTGTTCAACCATGTTCGATTGGGAATAAAGGCGGAACGCTGCATCGCAGCCTTTTCGGACCAAAACCAGTCGACTCAGCGTCCCAAAGACTACAACATATGGGCCAATCGCGGTCATCCGTGCTTTTATAAGAACGAAATGGCGCTTTTAGTGACATTTTGCATACAAATCCCCATCTCGTAGGGCGCAGTCACCCAGTTTCGGTGGAAGTGCGCGAGTTCGATTGGGATTCAAGTACTGAAGTAGGAAGGGAGCGTCTCAGCTTCCTCGGACCACGACCATTCGACTCAGCACCCCGAAGACTACAACTGGTGAAATTTTAATTTTTGCCTTAACTTCCCCTTTAAACAGGCGTGCGCAATGCGAAAATCCAAAACACTTTCCACTATTTGTATTCGAACCTCGGGTATTGAGCCAATAATAAATGTAGAAAAGAAGGACATATGGAAACGAGTTGAGAGTAACTCTCACCACTCTGTCAGTTTTGTGCCTAGTTGTTGCACTTTCTGACTGTATAATTATAGTATCTAGTTACGGTGGTGGAGAGTTACTCTTAACTCGTTTCCATATGTCCTTTTCCTTTCTACTTTTAATAATAATAATAATAATAATAATCGTATTCGGATGATTGTTTTTCGATTGTGTCACGTGTACGCAGTGCTAGATTGCTGAATGTTTTGGAAGCTGTATACATCCACACAAGGAAACCCAACCTTTGCAAGCAGAAACAAATCAAATTCACACTTAGGCTGTTAGGTAGGTCGTCAAAACCTCCGTAGTTACATGTATGTCCAGTGGTTGTCTCTTGTTGTCGCACTACATGTCGCGCTTATTGAGTTTTCTCGCATTTGCACCTTTGTGTCATTATTGCAATTTTCGCTGTTTACTTTAGCTATCTTCTTTCTTTCTTTCTTTCTTTTTGCGCTGTTTTACCACCTTCTTACTGTATTTAATCCACTGTTCCTGTTCCTTTTCCCTTGCCTGTATTTCACCTGATGAGAAGGCTTGAAAGTATACTTGTGAAGACAAAAACTTTCAAGATGTTTGTAATGAGCCTGAAGTGTGTCCTTTTTATGAGTATTATCGCATTTTTGTCTCAGAGGAAACTGAATAATAATAATCCTTTTTTCTTTTCTACACTATTTGTATTTTTGTATTTTATTATATTTAAGGATTCCCCAAAGGCTTTGGGTGTGTCGAGGAGATCTCCTGCAAGCAGAATGAAATGACAACTTTATGTGGAGGGAGCAGTTAAATCGAGGATAGGCTAAGGAAATAGATCGAGGCATACAAAATCTGGTAATTAAAGGAGTTGGGATACCGTCAGTGTAATGAATATATCGGCGAAAATGCTGATAGAGACAATGCTTGAATTCAGGGAGGCTGGTTATAGAGGTAAGAGAAGGCGTATATATGCCGCTGCTTGGGAGATATTGGAGCCGCTTGGAGGAAAATCGCCTAGATAAGGAGCTTACCTTCATGTGGTTGAAATCAAGGACACTGAAACCTTCAACTGAGGCTTCACAAGACCAATCCCTCAAAACGAAAAATTACCAATACGCCATAATGAAGTCAGTTGCTCGAACTGATTGCAGGCTTTGCAAGGGCAGCTTAGAAACAATTGACCATATTGTCAGTGCCTGCCCAGTTCTTGCTCGGACCAGTTACAGTCAACTTCGCCAATAACGACATTTGGCGGGGCATCAGAAAAGTGTCCTTATTCGCGAAGTGTCCTTATAACCGAAGTCCCATTTGAATGTATGTGAACCCATATTTTGTATAGTATGATATGCATATCAAAATCAAGCTCTTTTCTTGCTCTATGTCAATGTGTACTTTATTTTCATATTGCAGTTGAAACACTACACAAAAAAAGTAATGGCACGTCTAGATCTACACGTAGCGCGAACTTTAAGTGCTGTGACTTGACCTTTTGACCCCCACGCCATATGGCCATATGGCCCATTAATGGCATTATGGGGCCAGGGACGGTTGCGGAAAAGTAGTTGCGAAGTAAAGAAGATCTACAAGTACCATGAGTACAGTGCAGTGTAGATTGTAGTTCGCGAAAATGAAAACTAGTTGCGAAAGTAGTTGCGAATCGATTTCTTCCAAAAAACAACGAAAAGTTGTGACAAAAGTGGCGAGCATCATTGCCCATTGGGAAAGGGTTATTTGTGAAGCATTTGGAGTACTGTACTGTAGACATGTAGGACTCACATGACCTAACTCGTGACGGTCATATCTCGTGGATCGAAGCGTTGTGTTGTCAAAATAATTCCCAGTCCCAGTTTTGCAGTCACCAAACCTTCGTAGAATGCCGGTTTCGTGGGAGGTAGATCTGCATGACGAGACTCGAGAAACCTACCAATCCAAGGGTTTTCGCATGACATCGCAGTAGCTGGATCCGAACCTTCATCCCAGATCGCGTGATGTAACTGGACTGATCCAGTATTAGCAAGTATGGCAGGTACATGTACCGTCGTGTACTGTCTGTACTTGACTTGCAGACATGTCGGCAGTTTGTGACAGGCACGTCGACAGTTTATGCCTACGACGTGCGAGGAGCACTCTCACGTGACATGTGTGCAGTGCGTGGACTGAAGTGTGATGTCAGTGGGATACTAGCAGACGCGAAGCAGAGCCGAAGAGGGCCTGCATCATCGCATCAAAACTAACTTGAAAAGACCAGTTGAAGTATTTTTGCTTTCTGCCCAGTTTCAAGGCAGTAAGGGCTAGTACTCGACGACAAATCTGCCGTTCCTAGTGAAGAAGCCCATCTAAGGATTCAGAGCAAGACGTTGAAGAACAACAGGAAGACATCATGAAGTTTGCTGCTTTGGCTGTACTGCTGTTGGCGGCTGTCGTGAGCTCGACGCCTGTCAGGCATAGCACTCCCCTAAAAAAGCTCAAGTTGATGAGTCGATCCAGTGTTTCCTGGGAGAGTGGAGTGCCACGGGTTCACCATGAGGTAGTTGAGCAGACCCACAACCCGCCGTCCAGGGCTAGCAGGCCTGTCGGCAATACCGTCAGTTCGTCACAGGCAGGTGAGTTGCACCTTCACCATTGGCGCTCACGGACTCCGCGTCTTTGACCGTATATTTGATCCGCCATGCCATTGCGCAATGCCAAGCAACATGGCGATCCAGTGCGTTGCTGTTACTCACACATTGTCATTGATACCGACCGCCAAACATCTCACACCCTTCCTCTCCATCACTATTGCCTAGTGTCATGCCACAGGCAACGTTTTATAGTGTGTACAGCTAGCTTTGGTGTCAGGCTAAAAATACCGTATTAGATATAGATATAGAGAGGTTCTGCTATACGTGAAACGTAGAGAAATCACGTAGAGAGCAGGTGTCTGGGTTAGAGTCTACGGCTTCGCGTGTTTTGGGTCCAGATTTCTACGCGTAGATGAGGTTCTCTACGTTGTGGCACACGCAAAGAAAATGCGTACGGATCTGCTGGGTATCATTCGAGTGTAGGCAGAAAACTACCAAATATTGAAGGGGAAATTCCCAGTACACATTTCCCGTGACTTACAGGATTTCCTTTACGTTACGGGAACGCGAAGAGAGTTCGCGTGATTCTTTGCGACGCGTTCCCGAAACGTAGAGCAGAACCTCACTATTATCTCCATTATAAGCCCTGGGCTTATATTTTTTCGACCAGTCCTGACCCTGGGCTTATATTGGAGACTGGGCTTCTACTAGAGACTGGGCTTATAATTTTTCAACCATCTGGTACAAGTATTATTTTTTTATACAAGTATTTTTTCTTATATTTGAGGTACCAGTAGCACAAAATTTCCCACCAGGTACCGTGAATGCAGTTTTGCACTTCCTGGTACACTGAGTCTGTACATTTTTATCTCGGGGATCGCAGACCGAGGCTTGCGTCATAACATGTGTGTATGTGATACTGTGGACGTGAAACATGCATGGACATGATCCATACAGCTCTCCATTATAAACCCTGCGCTTATACTGGAGACTGTGCTTGTATATCTTCGAAGCCCTCTTGGAGTGCGCTTATAATAGAGACGGGGCTTCTACAAGAGACTGCGCTTGTAATAGAGATAATACGGTATGTAGTATTGGGGGGCCGTTCTACTGGTGCTAGATCTACGTGGAAGATGGAGTTTGTGTGTGAATGGCGAGCCGCTGTTTACCTGCGACAACAAGTTGATTTTTCGAAAGACGTAAAACTCAAGTCGCAGTGCGAACGAAGCAACAAGTCAAAAACTCACCTGCTTGGTATGGCGCTTTCGGTCATCGCAGAGCCATGAAATTTTGGCTCTGAGTAAAACGCATCGTAGTCTCACTGTGACAGATGTTTTCTAATCAAAATACCAAGAGAGAAAGTGAATATTGAGCCCGTTGCGGTTTGCAACCTATTTCCTATTTGAAACCGTCACCTCTACTGCATGTAGTAGATGTAGTAGTAGTAGTAGTAGTTCATGTTGGTGGTGGCATGGCAGCATGCATGCATTTACTGTACCAGCTGGCACTACACAGTACACTGAGTGTGTGCAGAGGGACATAGTGCACTAGTGTAGTGGCAGTGCATGCCCGGCACACTGTACTTTTCCTGAGGCTTTCCTAAGGCATCATTTGCTAATTATAAGGGCTTGTGACCCATTCAAAATTACATTTCAGCACCAGGAAGCCCTTGATGACTTGCTGCATTCACACATAGGTACATACTCCTGAAGTAGTTAGTTGCTCTTGTGTGTACAACTATGAATAGATTCTCTAAATGCAGCAACAACCCATGAAGTCTTACTGTGGCCTATGCTATTTTCGTAGCACTATGTAGCCAAAAAATATGAGAGTGGGACGACAGCTGTCTGTCATCCTCCAAGTTGGAAAATGCCAAAGGGCAGTTACCTAAAAATAAAATATTGGGGGATCTGTTTTTTTAGAACAGGAGGCTCCACTGCAGCCAATTCATATTATGATCAGATTTTTAGAATACATTTCTCTAGTAAAACCTATGTTTGCCCAGACCCTGTACCAAGCCAGACAAATACTAATCATAGCTTGCATAGACCTCTTCCTACTGGTAGGACCATAATACACAGACATGGTGCATGGCCTCTGTTCTAACATTGACCTAAAATTTGACTCTAAACTGTTGGTAAGGGGCTAATGTCGTGGAATTGTTGCTCATGAACAAATCAAATGTCATTTTTTGTTTTGTGTGTTCAGCTCATTTGCTGTGGCATCAGCATGAGGAGGCTGCTATTTACAACTATGTGGCCATCTCAACACAAGGGTATGTGGCTGCTTCCACATGGCTCAACCCACCGGAGATGGTTGAAGTCTACAAGATCAAGGGTACGCTGGAGTGGTGGTATTACTACTGGCCAGGGTAGAGCATGCCTGTGTGTGTGTGTGTGTGTGTGTGTTGATGTGTGTGTGTGTGTGTGTGTGTGTGTGTGTGTGTGTTGGTGTGTGTGTGTGTGTGTGTGTGTGTGTGTGCGTGTTGGTGTGTGTGTGCACGCGTGTGTGCGTTTGTGTTTGTTCCCACCGTCTTTATGTTTGCGCACTCCCCTCTTCTGCTTTCCATTCCATGGATGCTACCGGGAACCTTTCTGATCCCCTCAAGTCGAAAAATGACTTTTCATCAAAACGCGTCACCAAACATATTGATTGGCATGAATAGTTGCCTTCAGCTGCAGTAAGTATGTTCTAAGTTATGAGCAGTTCCTAGCTACGAACAATGCCCGGCTAAGGGAAGTTTCCTCCGCAAGCCTTGACGAATATTGCTGGACTGTTGTCCAAGCGGACTGGAATGGGATTTTTGGTCTTTGACCACTTTGCGGTGGGTCTGATCTACTCACCTCCCACCGCTGTAGGAGCTGCATCTGCGCCTTGATCCTTGAAGGATGGTGGCGTTGCTACGGATGCGGAAAACTGGGCCTTCAGCCGAGTCTCGCGCGAACAGTGAAGTTTTATGTTTCCTTTTGTTGATCAAATCAGCACATCAGCTCATTGTATGAGGGAATCAAAAACAGTGCCCTGACGTTCAAATTGAATTGAATACGGACTGAAGATGTTGGCTTCACCGCATGTGTAGTAAAGACACTGTAAATACTAAAACAATTCAGCACCCACATCCGTACTACCAATGGAGAATTGTTGTTAAGGGGTCGTCCACAAATATCGATGTTTTTTTAGAGAAGATATTCGTTCGTTTGGGGGGGAGGGGGTTTGGGCCCTGTTCGTCTCGTCTTTGCAGAAAAAAATATCGAACTCTATCTATGGACGGGTGCTGTTCGAACATGTAGTCTATGACCTACACAAAGTGAAAGTCAACCTCGTGAGCATAGCCATGTCAAGGTTGTGCGACCGTGGCAACATAAACCTAGGTGTATGGTGAAATTAGAGTGGCAGCTGGTCACGTTTCATGAGGAAATTGAACTTCATTTAAAAATATCGAACCCTTGCATAAACATGTGTATGTTCGTTTTGAGGGGGGAGGGAGGGGGTCTGGGGAGAAATGAACAAATATCGTCTTGAAAAAACCATCGATATTTACGGACGGCCCCTAAAAAACCACAGCCATATGAGAGAGTTTTGCTCGTGTCCGGATCACCCCATGTCTGCTGATTCTAAAGATGGCAGATTGTAGCGCCTAACGTTATTGGCAAGGGTGAGATGGCAAACCTCACAACCTGTGCCGGACAGGAGTTAAACCTCAATAGCTGCATCCAGGTGCTCGTCAATATCAGGTGAAACACTGACCTTGGTGCACACATTTGCGATCTTTATCATTAATTTTGCTGTATTTCCACAATGGGTTCTACCAGTGGCGACTATAGGAAATTGCTCCTCGACTTGGCGGTGAGGCGAAGTCAGAGATTATGCAGAGATATTGCTAGGTGTGTTGAGATATCATACTGTAGTGGACATGGAAATTCGGTCGAATGACCGGGGCCGGCGCCCTCAGTGCGTACATCACGTTGCATGCATGCATGGCCAGCACCTTGGGGCCGCTTGACCTCCGACTGGGTTTCCATGTCCACCACAGTAGATGTAGTATGTTGGTTCGGTTGTGATGTGCGACTGCAGGTGACGCTGTAACGCGCAAGACGGCTACTGTCGATGAGAACCACGATGGCTCGTCTGACATTGTGGCCATGTCCCGGGACTCGACTGTCTGCGTCGGGATGGTGAACTATCGCTCTAACTTCTCCACTGCTCTTTACGTTTGGTGAGTGTGCTCGCAGTGGCGTCGGAAGGTGTTTTAGTGTGGTACGGTCAGCCATCTGAAGTACAGTTTACTCCATGGGGAGAGTGGTGGCTGAGCCGAAGTGATTTTTGGGAATTTAGAGCCCAGATCGGTGTATTTTACTGATTCCTGGGGCAAAAAGTGGTACGGTCAATACCGTAGTATCCGTACCGTGTCCGACGCCCCGGTATGGACAGGTGGAAACGAATTTAAATCAAATTCTACTTGCAAAGAAAAGAGGAGGAGACTAATTGCCTGCCTATTATTTCATGTACTAGTGTAGAATTGTTTGGGGTCAAAGTTGCATACAGGGTACCGTATACCCTCCCCTCCACCCCACCCGCTATAGGTGGAGAGAGGGAGGTTGTATGAAAGCAGACTGAGTACACGGGGGGGGGGGGGGGGGGGGGGGCAAATCTTAGCCTGTTTTTTCTTCCTTTTTTCGGTTAAAATGTGCTGCTCTGTGCTTGCAAAGTAGGCTAGAATAGTGTGCACATCTGCATTATGGTGTATTGTAGATTAATGTTGAGATCAACGCCTTCTTCCCACTGCTCATGGTTTACGCTACTGCCATGTCGAATTCATACCCTTTATGAGCGGTCACTTACGGCGGTACTGTCAGACCTATCCAGTCCTCTTTTATCCGGATCCCTCGCCGTCCGGAAGATAATCGTTGGTTACCGATTTACAGCATATGTCATGCATGCATACAGTACGTGTGTTCGATATCTGGTTCCCTCGCCTATCCGGATATCTTTGTGGAAAACGGATGTGTACGGCTGAGCGTGGTCTGACTGTATCCCTATTGTTCAACCCGCACTGTGGTGTCCAGGGATCTTCAAAACCCGTCGACAAAGCCCGAATGGCACCACATGGAGTCGGGCACGATTGGCGTCGGAACGGCAGTGTCCGCAGACGGCTCACTCATTGCCCTACAGTACCTGGACGACATCAGCTACCTCAGGCCGAATGCTATGGGCGTAAGTGAATAGGAACAAAGTACTATATTTTCGGGAGTATAAGCCGCGCTGGAGTATAAGCCGCACCTCCATTCTTTTGCCAAGAAATACAGACATCTACCCTATTTATCACCGTTAAGGGAGCATCTCATAAGTTCGCATTTATTTTGCAAACGTAACGCATTTCGAATAGACTTTACCCCCCTACCTCCCCCCTCTATTCGAAAGTCTTTTCGCACATTTTCTGTGTTTATCTACTGTACACGTCCGCGCCCCATACTATGGTATGCTTATGTACATGATTGTACAGTCATGTACATGTACATGTACATGGATATGAATGTTTTGCTAGAGCGGTCGTGAATGGCATACAGACTCAGTAGTACTGCATTTACTGAGTACAAGTACAATCAATGACAGGTACACGCACATAAACATAGTTCCTCCACAACAACTGTACTGCTGTAAACCTGTAAACGCTGGCCAGGTACATGGTTTGATCAGGCTGGATTGACATTTGACACCTCTGAGTAGCCTGCATGCATGCAGTGCAGGGTTAGCTGATCTGCAAACACAGGTAGATCTCCACCTGTAAACACACTCATTTGCTGCAGGGATCTAGCACGGTACATGTAGTAGATTGTACAGTTCCAGAAAATGTGCGTACAGTCATTTTTCTATTCGAAAAGGGCGCTACCCCCCTACCCCCGTTTCGAAATGCGTTACGTTTAGAAACAAAATGCGAACTTATGAGATGCTCCCTAATTTGATCTTTGGAGTAAAAGCCACACCGTTTTCTTGGGGTAAATTTTGAGTGCTCAAAGTGCGGCTTATCCTCCGGAAAAGACGGTACCTTTATAAGGGATATTACTGTTTGTCATCTACAGCATGATTGAAGTTGTGCATGTCCCATATGGTGCAGTGGTATGTGCAGTCGATTTCCAATCGAGAGGTTGCGGGTTCAATTCCCGACGATTACGGTCACACACACGTCTGTCTTTTCTTTCTCGTTCTCCTAGCTCTTCTTTCATTCTCCTGGGTGGTTACCAACAGCCAGTGCATGCCGGAGTATGTGGTGTGGTGTACATATGTACGTGTGAAAAAAATCGTGTCCGCGAGGGGAATATCTAATTAAAGTTCAGATAGATTGACATCTGAAACCTTCTGCCTTAGACTTGATTGTTGATTCCTGGACCACATCTCTTCCTTCTGAAATCTCAAAGAAGACTCTAAACTGACTAACAATGTGGATCATGCTCTGATGCCATTCACAATTTTTCCTGTGTTGTTTTGTTACCTTGGCCGTACTCTTATACAATTCACCATTCCTTTAATTGCTGTTTCAGATCTCCTTTCTCAGCAACACTGGTGAGGTGCTATCACGCTATCAAGGAAGGGAGCTGGAGACACCCCTGGTCTTCGGTAGGTCTACTGCAACTGTACTGTAGTTGATTTGGATGCTATTTTACGCGGTGTATTGGTCGATTTTAGTCTGACCAAAGGTCTAGTAAACCTTTTTTTCGGTCATTTTTTATTTATTTTTCCCTTCTCGCATACTATTTTTAGATTTTCGGGTGACGGGAAACATAGAATTAAAAACGTGTGGCCTAACATTCCAATGTTCGGAGGTCAAGGACGGCACAGCGCCTGGTGTGGCATTGAATCGCTTGATCGTATTTCATTGAGCAGCTCTGTAGTTCATCGGATATCATTACCGATATTCAAATAAAACACTATCTAACCCATCAGCTCCTGAGAACTGAAGTATAAAGCGGGATTCACAGAAGATTTTTTTGCGATGCGAACTCGCGAAATACCATTCACAGAAGAAGTCTGAAAGAACGCCTTGCTGATTTGGCGCGAAGTTCATGAAGGTGAGTACGTCGCCATGGTATTCGCATGATTTGGGACAACTTTTACAAATGTCCAGGCAACTCTTGAATCTTTGTACAACTTTGTTGTAGAAAAGGTCAAAATCGTTCACCAAATTGCTTGTCGCATCGCGAAAGTTGAGCCAAGCTCAACTTCTGCGATGGCCCAGTTGCGGCAGTTGCGCGGCTGCGAGATGGCTACGTTTTGGGGTTTCCCGGTTCCGCGGCCGTCGCATCGTGCATCGCATCACATCGCAAATATGCTTCTGTGAATCCCACTTTACAGGAAAGTGTACACTTCTTAGTCAGAAGTGAATATTCCTCCTTTTTTTGTCTTGCAATATGGCTGTCCGCAGCCAACCCTGCACAAGTTGTCGCTGACCTGCACAGTGATATTTGTTTGATATTTATTTATTTGTACCTTTGCAGCACTGCACAGTTTGTACGAGTACTTGGAGATTTATGCAGTGCATGTCTACAGCTTATTTGAATGCGTGCCTACTGCGCAGTACTAGTCCCTTGTATAGAACGCGAGTTGTAGTGCGGGTTAGCATACAGGTGTGAACGCTACACACTTTTCATGCAAGCTACTTTTCTGCATTCTGTACTTGCTTTCATGCACGTGTCGCTGGCGTACGCGATACGGGCCGGGTTTGTGTATTGGGTTTGAACCATGTGGTTCTTCTTTTCAGTTTTAATTGTTCTTTGGTTGCTCCGCGAGTTGTTGCTTTGGTTGGAGACAAAGATGGCTTTCCGTTTCAGTAATATAATGTAATGTAACTATAACTGATAGTATACTGTTGAGTGTTGGGATGCGTTGGGACCCCGACACCAATACAAGTTATGGCTGATGTGAGGTGTGAGAAAGAACATTTCAGGGAGAAGGAGTTGCAGAGTCTTCTCAAATACTGATGACGGTGCTGTAGCACTCTCTCAGTAGTTACTGCTCTGGTTTGTGTAAAGCGAATAATTCTGTCTTTTCCGCTTCTGCTCCTTGCAGGTATGAGCTCAGATGGCCACTACGTTGCCTATGTCAGTCAACTGGTCGTGGGAGAAAAGAGAGAGCTCAACTTGACTGTCGTGGAGTACGTCAAGGGCGAGAAGAGAGTGAGTCTGTGCTTCTGTGTCCCTGTGTGACCTGGATGATCTGACCCGGATGAGAGGAAAACCCAGACGGTGGTTACTAGTAGCAGTATTTGTGGAGTGGACGCTAGTTAGCATCTACCTACAAGTAGCAATGACGGACAATCGTAAACATATACTGGGCTGTAATGTTGCTTAATTGGTTAGCACTCATGCTCTTGTATGACAATATACAGCTGAAAGGCATGAGGCAAGAGCTTGGCATTCCGTGATGCACACTGATCTGGCATGAAAATGTCTATTCAATATGATCCACCTTTTACAGTAAAACAGAATACTTGCAGCGAGGGACTATGGGTGTGAATATTCACTGCAGCTCATCCAAAATTCCTATCACTGGGCGCCTAGCCTAACTAGAGTTTGAATTTTGTCTGCATTCTTTGTGCACAGGTTGGCCAGAGATTCACCATGCCAATCACGGCCTTCTCGCAGCACCTCGCCGTCTCCGCGTCCGGAGAGTACATCGCCATGTCGGGACTCGTCGACGAGAAGCTGAGCCTGGCCGTGTACCACAAGAGTGCTGGAGACAAGCTGGCCTACACCGACCATGCTCTGCCGGTGAGTCAATGTTCAGCGGCAAGCAGCCAAGCATTCTTTTGTAGTACGTTATTTTGTGTGCGTCGTGTGTACGTGGTGTTGGTGCATGCGCGTGTTGCTGTGGTGTCTACAACAATTCAATAAACAACTTTTCATGTGATGTTACTAGTTTTTCCCTCAAACCAATGAATATTTCACTATATGTAGAGAGATTTAGGGTTCCACAGCTAATTCACTTACAGCAAAAAGGTTAGAGCATGAGTGGACAGGAGACTGCGCTCTTTGGAACTGTCACTTGTTGCACGTTCTAATACTATCAGTGTATTTTCGTTACGAATTGTGCACAGAACTGTCGCATGTTGCAGGTGCAGTATTGTCAGAAGCGGTAATGTCAAACGAGTCGTAATGTCGATGTGAATGAGTTTCTCTGTGTTTTGTGGTCTACTCATCAATGGTCAGTTGCGGGACAGTGAGACTTTGCTAGACTGCTGAGTTTCCGCCATCAAAGTTTCTTCATCTTTTATTGAGAGTCTGGCCGTGTGGCTAGACGAGAAGGCAGAAATGCCTATGTATCTAGTGAAGTGAAAAAAAGAAAAAAAAGAAATGTAGATTGCCGATCAGTCAACTGTCAAAAGGATTTCCCAAAAACTTTTTGAGCCACTGTTCTTGCTATTTTATATCTGCTTTCTGTCTCTGGGCTCGTGTCTCACTGAATGTGTTGCATAGGTGCCGGAAGGTTTCTTCCTGATCAACCTGGCCTTCTCGCCAGAGGGCTATCATCTGGCCACCACCTGGGCAGCGCGCACGCTGCACCAGAACGCCCTGGTGGCGTACGACCTGCCCGCGCAGAAGGACGTCTACAGCTACATGTACCCGGTCGACACTGGCGACAAGCTGGAGGACGAGCCTGCCTCCGTGGCCATCTCCTCCAATGGCGAATACATTGCCGTTGGCTCCTGGGGAACACTGAACGAAACTGCTGGTTCAGAGCAAATCCAGGTAAACATAGTAAAACCTGTAATTAGAGACCACCATGACTAGCGACCAGCCTGGTACTACAGTAAAACCTGTAACTAAAGACCACCGTGACTAGCGACCGGCCTGGTACTACAGACCACTTTGCCAGGCATGGACGGTCTCACATTCATATGTGGTTGTGCGGTGCAAACCTCTAACTAAGGACCGCTTTCTCTGGCCCCGAGGGGTGGTCGTTAGTTACAGGTTTTACTGTAGCAGAAAGGATCCATACTGGTAACAGAATGAAATACTTTGAATGAAGTCATTTGGTGCAACTCTGAGTTTCACGCTGGGGCATTTATCTAACATTAATAATCGTGAAACAGAGAGGTTCCGTAACATCAATAATCGTATGTATTAGAAAGGTTCACATATTTCGCTTTGCCGTAAACTTGGATCGCTATTGTATTGTTGAGTGAACTCAGTTTATGCAATGGCCAGATCTGCTTTGGACAAGTCGAATTTCAATCTGATCTGCTTTGGTATAATATTCACATAAAACTCTCGTGGGGGAGCTGACCTGTAGGAGAAAAGACTTGGACCCTTGCTGAGTCAAGTATGGTCTTTAAAAATTATTTTTGCCCCATTGTGAAGATGTCCTCAACCTTTGAGCACAAGCAGTGCGGAAATGGGAGTGATTGAAAACGAACTATGGAATTCCATGAGCAGTCGAAACCATGTTAACAGTGACCACTCCATTCCGCACAGAAAGCCCAGCTTTATAGACGTCTGGTTTTCCCTGCAAGGTCCCACTGTATGTGGGGCATGGCATAGGAGCAGGGATAGCTGGCCTCTCAGCATACTAGTACCAGTAGGTGATTACTCATCACACCGATCTCTATGTAGGGTGGTATGATATTGCATTGGTTTCTATACACATGTTTACACTGACTTTTGTTTGCTTTCTAGGTGTTCAAGGTTGGAGAGAAGGAGCCAATCCTGAAGGAGTTCACTCCCGGATCTATGTTTGCTGTTGACATCATGAAGAACACTGAAGGTGTGTACGTCGTTGCAGGCGGAAAGTCTACACAAGCCAATGTGATGGGAAATGGCGGCGACCTGTACGTGTACGAGATCGCTGCGGCTCAACAGCAGACACCATCGAAGACGAAACCCGAAGATCTGAAAGTAAGAAAGACAGATTTTATGCGACAAAACACACTTGGTGCAAAGAGTGCTTGACCACCAGAATATATCTGTAATTTGTAACTGTGCTAAGCCGCAAGTTCCCAATTCACTGTGGGTTGTAGCACGGCATGGCTGTGGCAAATAGGATTTCGGCCTTTGGTTGGTGGATCTTGTCGCGAATGCGATCGGATTTATTCGTAGTCACGAGCACAATGCATGTATATAACCAAGAATTCACAGCTACATATGCATGTATCCTTGTTCAGTGCATGAGTTGTACGTTCAATCACTCGCATCCCTTTGTGACACCTCTTTTTCACCTTGCACTTCGTTGCATTTCTAAGGTTCAATTCTGGGCACCCTTTTCTCACCCTGCACTTCGTTACATTTCTAATGTTTCCGTTCCGGGCACCTTTTTAATTAACCCATGCGCTTTGGCTTGCACACGCACTGACATCCAACACAACTGTGTGTACGACTATCGGCATCTTTGATGGCCTTCACTATCCATTTTCATGCTCACAGTTGGACTCGTTGCACCGTGCGTATCTTTATGTGTCACCTTTTCAGCTACATGCACGTGGAGCTGTTTTAGTTCCACAACTTGGTGCTCTTCTTGCTTCTCTTTGATTCTTCGCTACTCCTTGGGAGCTAATTTTGATGCGTTTGTATATTTATCGCTTGTATATTTCTGCTGACGCTGTACGCAAGACACTTTCACGGCACACTAATGCTACAGGCATGCACTCCGACTCCCCTATATTATCGCTCTCCCCTTGTAAATATTCTTCAGTCTTGATTCACAAGAAAATTGGGCACTAAGGAAAATATGGTCTGCTTCGAGTGGTTTATGTAAAGGGTATGTCCATGGTTCGCGACAGATCTGATCTATCCTCCCCCACCGTTTAGGAGCCGCATCTGATGCCTGATCATGGGGTGGTGGCGTCCCACGGAAGCGGAAAGGCGGTTCTTGACTCTCCCTGTACGCGAACCTGTGCAATTTTGGAATAATGCGACAACATGAAAGAAACCTGGTCGAATTGTGAACCTTCTTTAAACAGGACAATAGAGAGGTTTCGCTTCACGTTGTTCTGCACTACACCGTAAAATTTCACGTCGGTGTGGCAAATTTTGGCGTCGAAATTCCCGTTCGTGACGTGAGCTGAGGTCAACTCACGTTCGACGTGAACGCGAGTTTCACGGTGTAGTGCAGAACAACGTGAAGCGAAACCTCTCTAATCTCTTATTTGACACCCCGTGGCTGCACAGCCTTGGCCCTGGAAGTGGCCGTGAATGCTGCTGGGCACACACACATAAAAATGCAGTGATGCAAGCGAAGCTAGCCCAGGGCTAACTGGGTGCTACGTGCTTGCAATCTATTCTTGTTCCAGACTCTGGTCAATGATCCTGACTTGATCGACAGCGTTAACAAGGAGAATGTTGGTTGGAAAGCCGGTCCACAGAAGCAATTTGAAGGAATGAAGCTCGATGATGTGCGTGGATTGTTTGGAACGAAGCTGATGAACATGGAGTCCATCTCCAAACTGCCCAGCAACCCAGAGCATGCCAAGGCCCTGCCAGAGTCGTTTGATTCTCGTAAACAGTGGAAGGGCTGCGTTCATCCCATTCGCAATCAGGGCCACTGCGGCTCATGCTGGGCATTCTCTGCCACTGAATCGCTGTCTGACCGTCTGTGCATTGCTTCCGAGAGCAAGGTTAGACATGGAATGTGATTTATGTGTTTGTCTGTAGGGGGGGGGGGGGGGGGGGTCGTAAACCTGAAAGGAAAATGTGCTTTGTTGATTTAGAATTCGCATGTGTGAAATTTATGCTGGCATCACGTTGGCATCCTTACGGATATTGTATTTTTTATATAATTGACAATTTTCGAGGATTCTATTGTCAGAAGTACAATAATAATTATTTTGACTGAGGACTCTTCCATGAATCCTTATTGCCTTTATAAAACATAATTGTAGAAGTAATAGGCAGAAGACCAAAGTAGCATTTGTAGCAAGGCCAGATTGATGTCATGCAAGTCCTTTAATTAAAAGTACAGTGGACAAATCGGTGGTGATGCTGGTGTCACCGTTGTACCGTGTTTCTGCTGTTTCCCTTTCAGGTCAATGTAGTCTTATCCCCGGAGTACTTGGTGGAGTGCGACACTACCTGCCATGGCTGTGGTGGTGGCTGGCTGATCCCAGCCTGGGACTTCATGGAGACGAAGGGCGTTCCGATCGACGCTTGCTACCCCTATGCTGCATTCAACGGCTCAGCCGGTCATTGCCAGCCAAGGTGTACAGCCAAGACTACCGAATCATTCAAGCGATACAAGGTAATACAAGTACTCTGTGTAGAATTTTCCATTCAATTCTCGTATTTTTCAGCCACAAGTCCCCCCCAGGTTGTTATCAATAATTAGTCTATAGTATCCGTCAAGTAGTCCTGTAATATAGATATAGAAAATGTCAGGCCTGATCTCTACATGTACTGAGGTGAGTTATAAATCCTACTAACTCAGCTCAGCTACATACTCCCAATCTAGCGGAGTACTAGAGTGTACATTGCAGTGCACGACACATCTAGATGCAGAATGAACTAATACTAGAGGCATACTGTAATGGATAGTCTAGAGCTATCAAGAGAAGAGTACAAAGCATCAATGGAAACATACGGTGCACAACGGGTACACACACACACACACATATACAAGATAGCACTAAGACTACTGATGCTACCGTGTTACGTATGACATCACCACTATCATGTTCTGCATGACATCACTACTGTCTGGCTGCGGTAGGCCCACTGCGCGGCGGAATTCTAACATTACGTCATGCCGCTGAGGCACAGAGGACGAAACTCCGCTGTTGCAAACCACCAGTTCTCAAATTGGGAAAGGCCTTCGCGCTTATGGCATTGTATTCGTTGAAATGTTGTATTTCGACTCCGCCGTACCGCTGATGTTGCTGCATGGCATACGCTATATGCGCTGTGTGCGTTTTGCTGTATACGCTGTTATGTCCAGTTTTATATGCGTATGTTTTTGCATGTACGCTGTTTTTGCATGCTATAAATAGCTGGTGTTATTAGTGTTCATTGTTAATTATTCGATGAAGTGAAATATACTGTGTGAAGGAAAAGAGTTGTCCTCGTGCCGTGTGGTCGTACGATCCTGACAATTTAGAGAATCTTAGAGGGTTCACAACATTTGGCGACCACGCCAGGATACGAGCGAGCATGGCAGAGCAACTACACAATTTGGAAGCCAGCTTTATCGCCAATGGAGTTCGGTTAGGATTAGAAGGCGAGTTGTTGATGGAACATGTGGAGCAGAGACTCCAACAGTACGAGGAGCGTGAGGAGCGCAGTGCCAGACGGCGAGAGGAGGCGCTCCGCACCGAGTTTGACAAAACACTAAAGGAGATTAACGAGCGCATCGCCAATGCGTATGAGGGTGATGGTAAAGCCGCGATGGGAGGTACAGAGGAAGCTCCCAGTAACAGCGGGGGGCGTCAACCGTTGATGAAAATCCCCTCATATGATGGAACGCAGCCATTGGAGCGTTATCTTGACCTGTTCGAGGACATCTGCTCCAAGAACGAGTTCGAAGAAAGCGAATGGCTGCTGCGACTGCGCATCGCGCTAGCGGGTAGCAAAGCGGAGAGGATATGTATTGAATGCAATAATTACGAGGAAGCGAAGCGAGAGTTGCTCGCCTCGCTCGGAAAGACTCCGGATAAAGCGTGGAAGACATTGCTGACAGGCAAGCAGCGGTCAGATGAGTCGTTTCACCAATACGTTGTCCGTGTTTGCCGAGAAGTAGAAGTGTGGGCCACACTCGCTATGACAGAAGATGGCGAGGTGGACACCAAGTATAGCGCCGATATAGGTAAAATGTCCCCGGTGCTGCAAGCAATGGCAAAGCAGGTAATCTTGGAGCAATGCGGACCTGAGATGAAGACGTACCTGGTCGAACGGCAGTGCTACGGGATGTCACTGCGCCAGGTACAGGAGCACGGCGCGTCTTACCAGGTCGCGCACGGACGACAGGGTGATACTGCCAGGAAGCCAGTAGAACGATCCGCGCCAAGGCCCACGGCGTCGGCACAGTGCATGGCGATATCGGTCGCAGATGCAGAGAAGCAGCTAAAGTCGCTGCCACTGGAAGGGAGAAAGGGTTTTCTGCAGCGAGAGAGACTCTGCTGGAACTGCCTTAAGTATGGCCATATGGCCAGAGAATGTCGGTCAGGCTCGAGATGCACGAAATGCCAGAGGAAACACCACCTGCTAATACATGAGGTGTTGGATAGAGCAGGTTACAGCCGGGAGAAACCGACTGAGATAGTTACGGAGAAGAATGTTGGGTCGTGCTGTCTACACTCGCCAAGTGTGCGGCTGATGACCGGAGTGGCACGAGTTGAGGGAAGAACTCGAAACGCGAAGGTTCGCGTGTTCCTGGACTCGGGTGCTGAGGCGTCATTCGTGACTGCAGCGTTGGTGTCAGCAATCGATGCAGAACACGTTGGGGTTGAAAATGTAGAGGTGAAGCCGTTCGGCGCGGAACCAACCCAACAGCGCATGGATAAGTACGCCATCACGATCCAGGGTAGCTCCGCTAGCATTCGGGTACGCGCGTTCGTGAAACCAACGCTTGAGATGGACCTGAAGTGCGCAAGTCCGCAGACCATTGCCCAGTGGCACCGTTGGGGAGTAGAGCTGAGTGACAAGCCTCAACAAGGGACATCAGACGAAATACATATGCTGATTGGTGCAGACTATATCAACGCGGTACTGCACAGCAAGAAGGAAGTTAATGGTGAGACGGTGTGGAACACAGAGATAGGTAATGTATTATCTGGTCCAGCGTCTGCACCAAGTCGAAACAGTCAGCCGGTGACCGTGTCATGTGTCACAGCCCACATTGAACAACTATGGCAGTTGGATGAACCTCCAGAACAACATCAGCACCTGCCATCTTTCCCGCTATGTCGCCAGGGCAGCGGGTACCAAGTGGGTCTCTTGTGGCGAAATGAGCGTCGCCCAACGGATAACTTTGCTCAAGCTAGAGTCATCGCAACGCGGCTTATTGAAAAGCTGAAGAGGAATGGGAAGCGTGCGCTCTATGATGATGTGCTGATCAGGGAGTACCGCGAGCTTGGAGCAATTGAGCTGGAGCCATGTGAGAGCGATGCCGGGTACTATGTACCGCATCATGGTGTATTCCGCGAGCACGCTGCAACCACGAAGTTAAGAGTGGTGTTCAATGCCTCGGCGACGGCTCCAGATGGCAAGTCGTTGAACGACATGGTTGACCCTGGACCGTCGCTATTGCCGAGTCTCGCAGGTATGCTATTACGGTTCCGTGAATATAAGAGCGCGCTGCAAGCGGACATCCGCAAGGCTTTCTTCATGGTCGCGGTTAATCCCGAAGACCGTCCGTACCTGCGTTTCTTGTGGCCCGGTCGAAGCGACAGCGATGAACTGTTAACCTGGAGGCTAACGAAACTGCCATTTGGCGTAAACTGCTCGCCGTACATGCTTACTGCGGTGATTCAGCATCACTTGAAGGAGCTACGGGCGTTGTCTGCACCCAAAGAGCGAGATCGTATTGATCTCTTGCTCACGAGTTTCTACGTTGACGATTTGGTCTCTAGTGTGTCAAATGCCTCGGAAGCCAAGGAGATGCAAGAGTTCAGCGTGCGTGTGCTTACGGATGCTGGCATGGAGTTACGCAAGTGGCGAGGCAACGAAATCCCGTGCGATCCAGAGGCCGGAGATAAAGTCCTCGGTCTGAAATGGAAAACCAGTGATGACTTGCTCAGCATAGCAGCGCTAGGCGAGTCCGATAGGCCGTCTGTTTGGACCCGGCGATCCCTCCTCAAGTGTGTTGCATCAGTGTTTGATCCGCTAGGTCTAGCAGCACCGGCAGTTGTGCCGGGAAAGATACTGCTACAGCAAGCCTGGAAAGTCGGAGGCGACTGGGATGATATGTTGCCTGATGGCATCGCAGCCGCATGTGCGCAATGGTGGGGAGAGTTGGCCGAAGTGGTGAGCATTGACATACCACGTTGGATTTGCTGCAATCTTGACACGCCGATTGCGCTTCATGCCTTCGCCGATGCCAGTGAGAAAGCGTTTGGATGTTGTTTGTATGCAGTCGTCAATAGACAGTCGCACTTGGTATTTGCCAAGGCCAAAGTGTCACCTGTGTCTCCGCCCACGTTAGCCCGCCTTGAGTTACAAGCAGTATGTTTAGCGGCTCGCTACGCTGAGTTTGTGGTGAAGGAGCTGCGTGTTACCGTCACGCAAGTCTATGGCTGGACTGACAGTCTCACTACCGTTCATTGGATCAGTAATCCATCGTACAAATGGAAAACATTTGTGGCTAACCGCGTCAGTCAAGTCCAAGAGATATCGAAGAAGGTCGGCATTGTGTGGAACCATTGCCCGGGCCTTCACAACCCAGCAGATTTACCGTCGCGTGGGAGTAGTGCACAGCAGATCCGTAGTCCGTTCTGGAGGGGCGGACCAACCTGGATCACGGAGCCCAATGACTGGCCCACCGCATCCTCAACCGCAGCTACAGATGAGTCCAGTGTAGAAGTACGAGTGTCAGCCACCACCTGTAGTCGAGAATCTGATAAGGAATGGTGGCTCCGATTCAGTAAATGGTCGAGGGCACAGGGCATGGTGACTCGGATGTTGCAGTGGAAGCACACTGAGCCTCGTGCTGAACTCTATTTTGCAGCAGACAACGTATTGTACCGCATCGTTCAAGCCGCATGTTTCGCTGAGGATCTTGAGCTGATCAAGCAAGGTCAACCAATGAAGCCCGGGTCGAAGGTGTATCAGCTTGCACCGTTTCTGGATGAGCATGGAGTGCTCAGAGCCGGGGGACGACTTCAGCACAGCGAGTTGGCGTATGGAGCCAAGCACCCAGTCCTGTTAGGCAAACATCATCTGACCGATTTGCTGTTGGAGAAAATGCATGTTGAAAGGATGCACCAAGGTGTAGAAGGAGTCTTGTCGTTCATCCGTCAGAAATTCTGGATTATCGGTGGTCGACGGGCGCTACGCAACATTACTTAGCGATGTGTTACATGCCGCCGCTACAAGGCTAAGGCTGCCTCAGAAGTCTGCCCGCCGCTGCCAGAAGACCGAGTTGTTCACGAGAGGCCGTTCGCAACTACCGGCATCGACTATGCTGGTCCGTTGTACGTGCGCCGTGGTGAGTCATCTCCGAAGGTATGGATAGCATTGTTTGTATGTGCCACCACCAGAGCAGTTCACTTGGAGGTGGTCGATAGTTTAAGTACTGAGTCATTCTTGATAGCATTTCGGAAGTTTGTCGCGAGACGTAGTTTGCCGTCTCGGATCAGGTCTGACAACGCTACAACGTTCAAGGCGGCATCTGACAAACTGAGTGTGCCATGGATGTTCAATCCTCCAGCTGCACCATGGCATGGAGGCTTCTATGAGCGAATGGTTGGTACAGTGAAGAGTGCCTTGAAAAAGGTAATGGGAACAGCGTTTCTGAAGGTTCAGGAGCTTGAGACCATCTTGTATGAGGTTGAAGCAGTGGTGAATAGTCGTCCGTTAACTTATGTGTCTGATAGCCTGGATGAGCCACCAGTAACCCCTGCAATGATGATGGGTAACATTTGGATGTCGTCAGCGAAGCCAGCAGGTACCCCGGACGCTACGCATATGTCAGCGAGATTGCGTTACCTCAGTCAGACACTGAAGCATGTCAAGAATCGTTGGGAGGTGGAGTACCTAAGTCAGCTGAACAAGCACCAACAGACCATGTCGCGCCCTTTAGCTGTGGGTGATGTTGTCTTTGTTCTCGATGATACCAAGCGCAAACAGTTCTGGCGTTTGGGACGGATCATCGAGTTATTCCCTGGTCGAGATGGCAAGCGTCGTGTTGCCAAGGTTAAGTTGAGTACCAGTACCCTGTTGAGGCCGATCCAAAGGTTAGTGCCATTAGAAGTATCGTCACAGGACGTGGCTCCTGGGCTTGCCGATACCGCTCAACCTGCTATCGTCCCTCAGCAGCCAGCGTATGAACCGCCAGCACCGTTACCACCACCACGGCAGCAGGAGATGACGCGTTCTGGGCGCGTAGTCAGAGCCCCGGATCGTTTTTGACTTGTGTGCATTGTTGTACGGCGGTGAGAAGCCCTTTGGTGGGGAGAATGTTGCAAACCACCAGTTCTCAAATTGGGAAAGGCCTTCGCGCTTATGGCATTGTATTCGTTGAAATGTTGTATTTCGACTCCGCCGTACCGCTGATGTTGCTGCATGGCATACGCTATATGCGCTGTGTGCGTTTTGCTGTATACGCTGTTATGTCCAGTTTTATATGCGTATGTTTTTGCATGTACGCTGTTTTTGCATGCTATAAATAGCTGGTGTTATTAGTGTTCATTGTTAATTATTCGATGAAGTGAAATATACTGTGTGAAGGAAAAGAGTTGTCCTTGTGCCGTGTGGTCGTACGATCCTGACAATTTAGAGAATCTTAGAGGGTTCACAACATCCGCATTCCGCGGTGCTTGGAACCAGGGAGAGTGCAAGCGCAACGCAAGTGGACGTAACTTTTGACGTATTGTTAGAATTCCGCCCCGCGGATCCCCGTGTACAGAGTTGCACACTCTTGGGGTTATGGACTCTTGCTACTATTGTGTATCCGAAACGTGACCCCTGCGACATGGCCATGTATGTATTAACTCAACTCGTCACTTCCGGCATAGACATTTTTTGTTTGTGCCTGCTTATGCCTGTACTAACAGGCCAAGCCCAAGAGCACACAAGTGTTCAAGACCGTGGAAGAGATGCAGGAGAGCATCATGAAGTACGGACCAATTCAAGCTGGCTTCACCGTCTTCAGCGACTTCATGACCTACAAGAGTGGCGTGTACAAGCACACAGCCGGATTTGTTCTAGGTGGTCACGGCATCAAGATTGTCGGATGGGGCGTGCAGCCAACCACCGAGGAAAAGGTCAGTACGTCAGCCATGCCGGGTACACACATGCATGCATGTGCTTTGTGTGTGTGTGGGGGGGGGGGGAGGTTCTGTGTGTGTGTGCGTGCGTGCTTGCGTGCGTGTGTGCATTTGTGCACCCATGTGACGGTATAAAAGTGCACAGCTTGTGCCAGGGAACATAATTTGAACAGACTCTCATCTATAGCCCGCTCCAAACCAGTTCACCGTTGAAAAGAATTTCATTTCCCTCATGGACATGGGATACGAGTTAAGGTGGCTGGTGCAGTACAACTTTTCAACTGAAAAAAAGAGAGAATAAATTCGGAGGCCGAGTTTTCTGCACGTAGAAACACCACCACCCTCTATGGATCCATGCAAAAAAATAAAAATTAATAATTATCGTGTCCGTTCCCGAAGGGAACTCACGACGGCCGCTAACACCCGGTAAACCCTAGCGGCAGATGCAGCGCCTAACGGTGGGGGTGAGTGGATAAGTCTCACAACCACTGGATCCATGCAAGGTAGAGTTGAAAGTTGAAATATTGTTTTCGTTGAATCTTTGGAGAATAGCCTCGTCTAACTTCCTATAGTTTTATTCTTACTTTTGGAGAAAATTCGCGAGAACATTTTACGAAAGGTTCGTGGAAAAATAACATGGATCTTTCATTTAAAAAATTCAGATTTTGTGACCAAGTAAAAATAAGACTATAGTAAGGTAGAGAGGGTTCTTCTCCAGAGATTCACTGAAAAACATTTTCAAACTTTCATCTCCACCTTGCCGATAAACTCAACATGCAGTCAACATTACTGCTAAGAAGTTGTACTGCCCCAGCCACCTTTTTCATTAAAAATCACCTGCGACCCTATTGCAAATCCAGAGAAGCTGGTCAGTTTCGATAACAAAGCTCTTTTACCGATAAAAGCTATTGCCTTTTACGATTCTGTGTGGGAGAGATTGAAAGGGATGCCTATGGGAGATTGAAAGGGATGCCTATGAGAGATTGAAAGGGATGCCTATGAGAGATTGAAAGGGATGCCTGTGAGAGATTGAAAGGGATGCCTGTCTAGAAGCTATATAGAACACTGTCTGCGACAATACCGTTGATATTGGTACTTTTTTTAGTGTGTAGTATACTTAATAACTTATGCATCAAACTTATCCCGGGCAACCAGCCAAGAAGACACGATTATCTGTATTGAACGCTTTCGTTCCCTTCTTATCAGAATACTGCAAGGATTTTTTTCTTTTCATCCTTACTTTGCTCCTGTGCAGTATTGGATCGTGGCCAACTCCTGGGGCTCTGACTGGGGTGAACTCGGCGGCTACTTCTGGTTTGAGCGTGGCACTGACCAGTGCTTGATGGAGAGCAACTCCTGCGCAGGTCTGGCCGACGTCACTACCTTTGCCTAAATACTTCATTTTCCCTGGTGCTCAGTGATACGTACATGTAGATCACTGTGACGTCTAGTGCTGAGGTATCATTGCTGATTATCCCAATTATTTTCCTATCAATGATTCAAATTTCACCTTTTCAACAGGGAAGAAATGCTTTGCGCTCTTTTCTTCAGTGAGGATCAGAGGAAGTCTCACACTCCTGTGCAATGTATTTATTACTAAGTACTTCAAAGTACTTTTCTTGTGATTGCGCTCTCTCTCTCTCTCTCTCTCTCTCTCTCTCTCTCTCTCTCTCTCTCTCTCTCTCTCTCTCTCAATGCTGCATGCCTGCATCAGATCTTGCCTTCTCTGAAGACAACAGTGCAAGTTTGCTCTTCGTATCCATGCTGGAGAAATGGATTTACCACCACCATTCTCTTTCAGCCACCGTTTGGGTTTGTCATTGTACAGGCATTTTAGCGTGCGATGGTTTCCGTAGATTTGCAGGCTTGTCCGAAATTCAGGGCTGCTTTTCGTTGAAAAGGCAGTTTTTGTGGGTCTAAATGGGCCAGGAAGGTGCCGGGTAGGGGTAGGGGTAGGGGTAGGGGTGTCCGGATTAGGGGAGTTTTACTGTACAGATCTTGCAACTGTCAACGTGAGAACTTAATCATAGAGTACCGTGTTGTGATCTTCACTGAAAACTAAGAAATTCCATAGAGCTAGGGTTGAGGTATCTCTCCAGCTTCATTAGCCATGTTTCACTGAGACTGATTCCATGGTGAGAACTTAGAAGACATGCTCTTTCCCTAGCCTAGTTCTTTATAGCCATTTTGCTACAGAGTTACATCTTTTAGGACATCTTCCTACTGCAAGCAATCCACCCGCCTCACGTACATTTCCGAATGATGATTGACAATAGCTTCCTGTGGTATTATTTTAGTATTATTGTGATCAATGGGGTAAAGGCCAGTCAGTGAGTAGTATAAGTATAGTAGAGTCGTGCGCTGAAGAACGTGGAGTCCAAGAACGTCCAGCCTGAAAAACTAAGAATACCACAGCCTAAACAGGCGCGTGCTCGGCGATGGGCACGTGCACCCCCCCCCCCCCAAAAAAAAATTTCAATCTGGGTAATTGCAATTGTAATGTATGCAAATAATGCCAAATATGCTCTAAAATTCAAGAAAGGTTGCAAACAAATTGCAGAAAATTGCCGGGGGGGGCTCCCCTCGGCTCCCGTGCACCCCCCTAGTTGGGGGGCCGAGCACGCCCCTGCTAAAGCTAAGAATGGCGGTGTTGGTTTTCTGGCAGCTTGTGGGATACATACCGTAAAGTCTTGTATAAACGCCGCACTTGAATAGAAGTCGCCCTCGAATAGAAGCCGCAATTATTTTGGGCCCATCAAATCACACATAAGCCTGGTTTTAGTGTTGACATACATAGAAATACCTGTCTTGTATAGAAGCCTGTCTCATATAGAAGCCTGCAAAATTTCACCAAGAAAGTCATAGAAGCCGCAGCTTTTATACAAGACTTTACGGTAATTATGATCCAGTGCGCACAGTTTCTAAGAACGTGCTATAAGAATGCAGCCAGATCGCTGAAAAAAATAGGAACGTCCCAGGCTAACCCCTTGGAAACAACGTTCTTGGGCGCGCGACTCTACTGTAGTCAGGGTTTTTCTCCTTTTTTCTTTCTGTATTTGTAGTTTAACTTCACGACACGAATGTCCCCTCTTCGGCCCAGTTCTTGTTTTGAGGGCTCCCAAAGTGCTCTTTACAGAGCGAAACACAAGCGAATGGATGCTGAGGTTACAGCTGTACCTGTCACCGACACCTAAGCCTGGTCGGCATTCTCCCTGACTGCGACCAGTTTAGGCAAATGACTTTTTTGAAATAAGAAAACAACCCCCTGGTTAATAAATTGAGTGGTTATCCAAAAAATAGCCATGTGGGATCTGGCTGATTATACCCTACCCTCTTTCAACCGGGTTCCTGATCCGGCCCTGGAGCAGCCAATGCCAATGGTACTAGAGTAACAATCTAACATAACAAGTACGAACAGAGTTCCTCATGCAAAAAGAGGGGCAAAACCTCAGTAGGGCCCGGTCACACATGCACTCAAAAGTAGTGGTTCCGCTGAAGCGACGCCACAGGAGCGGAAAATACCATGGCAGCTACGAAAAGCGAAACTACCCTACCTGCGAAAACTCAAATCCCGCTGCCTTCAAAACGTTGGGAGCGGCACTCTTGCTTCTGTGGCCTCACTTCTGCAGAAAACATCACGGTCTGCTTGACTGTGATGTGTTCTATGCGGCACATGTATAGCGGCATTGATCGACTATCCTTCCGCACTTGATGATATCTAGCTATACTGCTTTGCTGACTTGAACACAACTAGCCACCTGATGCTGGTAACATTCTTTATTGAAATGTTATTCTTGCAATTGATAGCAAAAGAAATGCGACTGAGCAGTGCTAGGGGAAATGCATGTGCTATCCAGCATTTCTCACTAGCCGTGAGAGATTGTCTACATGTAGTCCTATGTACTGTACAAAGTAGCCTACTCCACAAGGGGCTAGTCAAATTCCGCCTCCGCTGTCTTATCTCGTTGCTAAGCCTTGGGGATGTTATAGATGAAGATGTCACCACCCGCTGTGACATCATTAAACTGCTGCGAGTCAGCAGCCACCGCATACACACCGCCGTCAGAGTTCTGCATGACGTCGACGGAGACAACGGATCCAGGCGTGAACTTCTTCAGGACTGGCTGCGGCTCGCCCACCTTGAACACCTGCACACCAAACACAACGCAGCAAAGGCACTAGTAATTTTTTAAATAAAACAGTCTTGCTGTTGCTGATATTGACACAAGGTTGCCTATACCTGCCATCATGTTCTTCTTTTCTAACTCCTCATTTTTGCATGTGTCACACTCTCATGTAATTATTATTACTTTCCTTTCTTCATCATGTGTGAGAGCTTGGGCAGTTCACCTGGCCAGACAAGAAGGCAGCAATGCCTGTTTATTCTGGAAAAGTGAATTGAAAATATACCAACCAACGAACCAACCATGTTTGTAGCATTGGGTGTCCTGTCATTATGTCGTTTTACTGGTATATTCTGAAGAGAATATCGATATAAATAAAGTGAATGCATTCAAGTGAACGCATTCATACCAGGGCACCAGAAGAAAATATGTAGGGACTTTAACGTCGTTTTTATGTAACAAATCATCAGAAACCTTCGTCACACTGAGAGTTGGACTAGTACAACGGAAATTATTATAAATTACGGTACCATAAAGTGAATAGTATTGCATATAGAACTACGTTGAGAAAACACTGAAATCCTGAAATTAGCACCATTGAATGTGTGATTAAGGCGATCGATGTTGAAGCATGTGTGGAGTGGCGAGGTGCAGGTGAGAATGCTATGGATTTGAGTACATGGGTACCGTATGTCAGCGCCTTTCAAGCCATAGCCTTATATTCGAAACACCGCTGCTTTCCTAGCTATTTTAGATGCAATGACTCACCCACTACGCCATGTCATAAGAGTAAAGTCCATACCGAAATTTCAATCTAAATCCACTTGTTCACCCCTTCCTGCTGGGATGCAAGTGATTTGTTTGTACATGATGTATAGTTCGAATTCCTTCATTTTCACAAATCATACTTCAAATGTCTTTCATTTATGAAGCCCATGGCTTTATATCTGAGACTGGCTCTGTAATCGAATATACATCCGTGGCTTTAAAGGTGCGGACGGTAATAATGCTGAGAGTGTGAGTGAAGAATTAATCACATCTTACTGCTATTTTTAGGATTTCAGTGTTTCTTGTGGTAGTTCTAGATCCGATACTATTCACTTTATGGTACCATATACTATGTCATAGGTGCAAAAAAGAATAAAATTGATGCAGACACTGTGTCGTTTGGCCATGTCTGCATCAATTGTATTCTTTATTGCACTTATAAAATTACTTTCTCCACGCCGACTTTCCCCTAGACCGTATATACATGCATTCATTGTTTCGTCTCATCATCATGGAGCAGCTTATGCGAAGGCTAGCCAAGCTTGCTTGGCGATGCCAATGCGGAAAAGCTTATAATAATAAGAAGAAGAATACGCCGACTTTTCAAATAGTTATTTCCTTTGTACTAGTCCTACCCTCAGCGTGTCGAAGATTTCTGATGATTGTCATAATGAAACGACGTTAAACCCCCTACATCTTTTTCTTCTGGTGTCGTGGTATGAATGCATTCATTCTATTTCTATCCATACTAGGTCTCTTGTCTCCAAGCCTACTGTTTAGAAGTAGTTAGAAGGCACTAAAATTGTCTTTTTGTTAGGGAATGATGAACGAACTGTTCTTGCCATTATCCAAGAAATCCCTACTGTGTTGATGTTTTTGATAGTTTATTTTACGTGCCATGAGTCTAGAAACCTGCTCTTTTCCATGATACAAACAAGAACAAGAACAACAAGAACCACAACAACAACAACAACAACAACAACAACAACAACAACAACAACAACAACAACAACAACAACAACAACAACAACAACAACAACAACAACAACAACAACAACAACAACAACAACAACCGTCTGACTGCCCTGCACTGATGTATGGTCAGTAAATGCATTTATCACTTTGAGTTGTTCAAGTAGTTCCTTGCTGTATAGGAGTATACTCTGCTTTGGTTACACTGTGTACAGTGTGTTTTGGGACTTCCCCTAAAGGAGCAATGGCTACAGATGTACCTGGAATTGCTGTGTACCATTGATTTGGCCCAGATCATCTGGCGTCCCAAGTGTTCCAATTGCGACGTATTCGCCATCAGACGAGAGTGCCACGGCCACTGGATCGTTGTCCAAATTCCATTTCAGGCGCGGAAATACGTAGCTGTATACGCTATAGAGTCCGGGCAGGTCGTACACTACAAGAGAATTCTGGATCTGGGGGTATTCTCCTCGCCAGGTGATGGCAAGGCGAGTGCCCTCTGGAGAGAAGGCCATGGCAAAGAGGTTAAAACCGTCAGGTCCCTGAACAGGATGAGAAAGGCGGTCAGAGAAAAGCGGACATAGAACTAGAAACTTCAATCCGTGTGAGAGCATTCTGCAGTTTATGCCTAAAACATGGCCGCCAACCCTGCGATTACGTCATGACACTCGGGGTCTGCGCCGCTTTGGCGAGATGTGCAACCACTCTATTCAAATTATTGTCTCTGACTGATTGTAAATGAATAGAAAACGAAAACAGTGCTTTTCAGCAAAACCATATATTTATGTACTGCTTGATATACTGTAGTGTCACGTATAAAAGCATGACCTGTATAAAAGCATGGCCTGTATAGAAGCATGACCTGTATAGAAGCATGACTCGAATAGAAGCCGATTTTTTGAAGTGTGCCATGACACAGAAGCAAGATTTGAATAGAAGCCGCTTTCCGCAAAATACATGTGCAAGTACAAGTCGCACTTTCTGACCGTTTATCATCTTGTTACAGTCGTGGATAGTTGCTGCATAACTCGTGCTCATGTGTTTCTTCTCTTTTTTGCAAGTACATGTGTGGCAGTATGCACTGCACACTGTAGACTGGAGATGTTAAAATGTAGAAGCATGTTTTGAACAGAAGCATACCTTGAGTGGAAGCATGGTTTGAACACCGGCTTACACGACCGTAAGCACTTGCTTTTATACTAGGGTGTCAACGGATTGCAGGGTACCCGTGCTACCCGTAATTAGAGCGGGTATTCGGGTAGCAATTTGCTCCTGAGGACCCGATCGGGTAGTTGGAGTACGGTGTTTTTGAAACGGTGCAAGTGAAAAGCATGGCTACGTGCTTACTGTACGCTTCTTTTGTAGCACAAGTGCCCACCCACAGTACACACCATGTCAAGAAATACCCGAAAGGGTACCCGTGCTACCCGGATAAAAATACCCGAACCCGTTACCTGACCAAACCCCTACCCGTTGCAGTCCTTTTTTTATACGTGACATTACGGTAACTCACCTCTAGAGTGGTTAAAGTGTACTTCAGATTTAATCCGGGACTCTTGCGATAGACAAGCGCACAACGGACTGCCTTCACCACGACAAACTCTCCGCACGCGGAGACTACTACAAAGTTGCTGTGTTGGTCCATTTCGATCTCGAAGGTCCGCCCAGCCTGTGCACAGAGGAGAACAAATCGAGCTTCAGAGGTAACGCACTGTTTGTTTGTTTGTTTGTTTGTTTGTCGAAACTGAACATTTTCAGCTGCAGTAGTCTAGCATCACCACAGTGCCTTACACATTCTAGCCGTTTGGTGCGTGCTCTGTAGGTCAATTTTGACCTGTTCGACAGTGCACACTGAAGTGGATCGCAGAGCGGGTCTCCTACATCTCAAGATGTCGGATTTTTTATAAAGACCCTTTTGAGGCAGGTCTGTCCATCTCCGTGGTCATACAGAAAGTAGTGGGGTTGCAGGGAATGATTTCATTTCAATGTGCATAGCAATTTCGCTACTCAAAATCCAACTTGAAGATCACCTGTGAAATGTTGTGGAGCGCTTATTTCTTCAGGACTCAGCAAGAGTCCTTCTGGAGGGCGCTGCTGATAACTTCATCAACGAATACTGAAAGCTTGATTCTAAAAACAGAGATTACACAAATACGGCACTTTCCCTCCTGCTCAGTTTGTCCCATCGACACAACTCATTTAGAATATGTTCCTGCATTTGGACAGTTGTCAGCTTTCTGTTGACATTTCTTTGCCAACCCGAACATGAACAGTCGTCCTTCCTCAAGGCGAAAAATGAGCCTACGAAGAAAACCCTTGACTTTTAATTAGGGGAGAAACAATCATGCCACATACTCATCCCTTACTCGTTATGGTTAGACTCGATACTCGTTAACAGTTGCGAAATGTGCTTACCAAGTATTGAGAAGGATTTCCCACCACCAATATGTTGGCAAAACAAAAATGCCAATCTATTCACAACGCAGTGTTGTCCGTGACCTCGTGTAGGAGGGGTAAAAAAAACCGACGACAATTGGCGCCCGACTGATCGATCGTTCTCCATGGCCCTGATTTGTGCTGATAATTCGAAGTTGGCAATGCATAATTCGAAGTTCACTGTACACTGTGCAAGTCAGTTCAGTGTGCATCGGCAGGCTGTACTGGCCGGCTCATTGCCTGCGTGCACAAGGCCTTTCTTGTGCATGCATTGCACCGTGTTCTGAGAGAGTTTTTGAGAAGACGAGCAAGTTGTCGTTTGATTCTGATGTGCGGTGGAAAGCATCTCCACGCGAACATCACTGATTGAATAATCCTGGTTCCCTGGACGTGTTCGTGTGAGGCCTGTGATGTGCGCATCAGTCTGGGCATCTTTGTGTTTTCTTTGCCGCGTGTGTTTTCTGCCGGATGACCGGATGCCTGATACTGTTGCTGAGGTCAATGCTGCTCATGGGTGACGTCATTCCTTTCCTACATGCGTTATTGGCTCAGTATCCGAGTTCAACAATTTTTAATTCGAAAATTGATTATTCGTGAAAATAAAATCCGTGTTATCTCACCTTGCCTTGGATGTACTGATGGATAGTCAAGACCGAGCCCGTGATGACGGCAACATAATTGCCATCTGGACTCACGCCTGGAAGGAACAAGAACGTCAAAGACGAGATCAAGTCCACAAGACATGGCTGCGGCCGTAAGGGAGAGAGAGAGTGTGTGTGTGTGTGTGTGTGTGTGTGTGTGTGTGTGTGTGTATGTGTGTGTGTGTGTGTTGTGTTGTGAGTATGGTGCGTGGAAACCTGGGAAGCAATGACGGGGCAACCCCTGGCGAACTTCATGATTGTTTGTTATCCGTCCCAGAACGCGATTTGCAAGTCGTACTTGGTGGCTTCAACGCCCGCGTTGGCAGCAACCCAGGTGATGAAGAGAGTGTGTGTGTGTGTGTGTGTGTTGTGTTGTGAGTATGGTGCGTGGAAACCTGGGAAGCAATGACGGGGCAACCCCTGGCGAACTTCATGATTGTTTGTTATCCGTCCCAGAACGCGATTTGCAAGTCGTACTTGGTGGCTTCAACGCCCGCGTTGGCAGCAACCCAGGTGATGAAGAGGACGCATGGAGGCAAGTGCGTGGTCCTTATGGTGTTGGTACCATGAACGAAGCTGATGATGAAATGTTGAGCTTTCTATCCATGTTCAACTCTCGACTCTGTAATACGTATTTCAAGAAAAATGACATTCATAAAGTTACCTGGCAGCACCCACGTTCACAGCATTGGCACTGTATTGATTATGTGATCACCCGGCAGCGGGATTTTCAGCGCTGTACAGATTGTTGTGTGTACCGGTCTGCCGAGTGTGGAACTGATCACTAACTTGTCGGGCTAACATTGTCACTTGGTTGCCGCCGGCGTTTCTACCCACCAAAGAGCAAGGCCCCTGATCGCCGTGGCTTTGATGTATCACAGCTAGGACTTGCTGACCCAACTGCATCAGAGGATGATGATTTAGTAAGGCAAGCAACTGTGGCTGAGTGGTGCCATACCTCATCCGATTTTAGGAAGTTTGGGTGCAAGGCTGTGTGGAACCGCATCCGGGACTTGCAGACTTCCCGGCGTGGATTGGTTCCCACTAATTCGTGCCTGATCAAACAGACTGATGGCTCACCACACTCGTCCGTTGAGGCACAGCAGGACCTCTGGTCTGAGCATTTCGAAAAGCTGCTAAACCTTCCAAGCAGCTTTGTCCGATCTGAAATCTACTTGGTTCAGCAGCGCAACGTCACGGAACATCTGGCCATTCCACCCACTGCTGAAGAGGTCCAGCGCTGCCTTCGGAATCTTACGAGCGGGAAAGCTGCTGGAAGCTCCGGCATTCTACTGGAAATGGTCAAATACAACTGCGACCTATTCTATGCCAATCTGTTTAAGCTCGTTACCGCGGTTTGGGAGGAGGGCGTAGTACCGCAAGATGGCATCGCACTCCTTGACGTCTTTGGGAAGCTGTTCGGACGCCTGCTGCAAAACCGATTGCAGAAAGTCGCCGAAAGTGTGCTGCCTGAATCACAGTGTGGTTTCCGGAAAGGTCGCTCCGGCACAGACTTGGCGTTTTTTGTTCACCAGGTTTTTTTTCGGAACACATCCCTTACATCTAAGACGAAACAACACACGTACACATGCTGTATGCTGTCTCATGCCCTGGATTTTCTGCTTGAGCCGGCGGCATTCCGCGCTCATGCCCCGGATTTATGATAATGGAGTTTGTGGCATTCCATGCTCTTATCACATTCACATGAGTTGTTTGATACCAGCCCCTATATAGCGCACCTCAAACTCTTGTGTTCAGCTTTGCTTGCGTATGCGTGTGAGGAAAGATGTTCAAAAATTGTTTAAAAAAATTTCCAAATTACAGTTTACTTCAGTTATAACAAACTCGCATATAGCAAATTTCGTGATAAAGCGCACCATCGTCCATGTTTCTGTTTGTTTGAACGCATACAATATTGACTCTATGTAGCACACAGTATTCGTATACTGCAAAACCATATTAATATTATTATCTTGTACAGTCATGACCCACAATCCGGTCATGACGTGTTGCTTTTGCATTCTTATTCCCACCCCAAGATGACCCTTCGTCCAATAACCTGGCTACAACATACCTATGACAGATTGGTTATCAAATTTGCCCAATGGAGTGCGACCCAAGAGTTCTCCAGTATTACTGAGCATAGTGATCTACAACAGAGACAAAACAAAGCGAGGACAAGGTTGTAGTTAGAACTGTCACATGAAGGTGTACCAGAGAACATGGTATTTTCCAGAACAATTTTTTCTCCCAGCGTGAGATGTTTTTCTTCACCTCGTCTTGTCGGAAAGCTACAGATCTCCGCTCTCTCTCTATATATAATAAAAAATGCCTTAAGAATCTCACAAGAGTAGCAGAGCTGCCTTCATGCCTTTGGAGAAGCGGCCTATTGTGCCAGAGCGAAAATGCTGCACCCACCTCCCCTGCTTTTGTTGTTGGCTTCGGTTCTGAAATGTTACTCGATGCAGAACAGTATTTGATATTAAGTTTAAACATAATTTTATTTCACATTGCAAGTCAAACGGAAACTCATGCCCAATGTTATGACGACGATGGAAAGAGAGAAGGCAGAAAAACAATATAACCTGGATAAGACGTGTAAAGAAAACAGAGAGCCTAGAGAGCTCTCGGGACAAGTGTTGAATCTGTACTTTCTCCACCTGCTCCCAGCCCCGTGCCATCTCCACCTGGGCTGGAACAAAGGAAGGATCACTGGAGACAACAGGAGACCATAGCGATGTGCGTTTCAACCCCATACTAGTGCGGTATTTGGAAGTTGCCCCAGAGTCCCAGACCCAGTGTCTATACAACAGGCATAGATATGGTTGCTGTCACATCTTGAATAAATGCATACTGCATAACACGTTATTTTCGGTGTAACTTAAATTTTTAAAGTAATTTTGGTAGAGAACCCAGGCACCTAAATTAAGATTACACCTAAATGGCACCGGAGTATGCACTGTATGTGAAGGGAACGCTGGTCACCTAATTCTACATTACACCTAAAACCTGACAGGTCCCCGAAATTTTACAACACCTAAAATTACATGTTATGCAGTACTCCTAGAGCTAACTTCCGGGATGAAAATGATAAAATGCCGTCACTCCTGTCTTCATCAGTTTCAGAGTCTGGTAAGCTACATACTCTTGTCCATCCCTTAGAATTAGGCTCTAATGCAATATCTAGTAAAAAAAAGGAAAAAAGTAAATTATCGTGTCCGTTCCCGAAGGGAACTCACGACGGCCGCTAACACCCGATAAACCCTATCTAGTGGCCACACTAATAGTACCATAAAGTACCGCCAGAGCGCCCCACCATCTCGTCCTTTCGCGGTCGTACTGTGGAGGCTGTCTATTGTCTGTAGGTCATACAAGACGAACCTTGTACACATACTGCACGTTATGCAGTCAATCCGTACTCAATTTACCTTCGAGCGGACACGAGCTTCACGCAAAACCTGCAAAGTGTGACCTTAGGGTGACCTTAGTACGCTAAGATTCTCACACCGCACAGATTTTGTTGCACTCTGCAATACGATTTTCCTTTCCCTGGCTGTAAAATCTAGGTGAGGCACTCTTGCGAGACTGGGTGCTCTGGCGGTACTTTATGGCAATAGCAACAGCGGCAGTACCATGCTGGTATTCACTCACAAAGGTTTCATTTTTGTAATCAACAAATTTGCGTTCTAACAGTGTAATAACTGAGCCATCAGCTGCCACGTATGCTGCCACGGCCACCATGTACTTCTCCTGGCGGTACCACACTGGATTTGATGAGTTTTGAACATCCCTGGACAAGGAATAGTATAACACAACTGTTTCAGAGTAACAGTTACTGAAAATATCATACCAGTAATTCTGTACACGTGCATCGCTACTTCTTTTGTTACACGGCATCGTCATGGGAACCCTTTTCTCTTTCTGCTGATTCTCGTTGTATGTACGTTAGCACACAAATACAGTAACACATTTAACTACAGTCCATTCATAAAAAAGATGGGCCCTGGCTTTGGCGAGCTCCCGTATTTGGCGATTTTTCGTGATTTCATCGTACACAGTGCAGTGCTGCGAACTTTGAAACTTGAAAGAGGGTCCAAAAAGGTACCTGAACTGGGGTTCGAACCGCACAACGCACTGTTGCAGGCGGGGTCAAACGGCCTGGATTTTGATGGTTTTTCCCGATTCAGTGCTTTTGGGGGGAAACCTGGCCGGAATCCTATTCTTGCTATGGCCTACTTTTTGGACAAAAAAACTTCAGAAACATAATTGGAAGAGGATTCCCTAGGGGATGGCAGGAAAAAATTCTAAAAAAACTCAAAGTTTGACCCATTTATGGACAAAAGCTAGAAGTTCATTTTTTTCTGAATGGACTGTAACGACCACCCGTTGGGTCCGGAATAAGCTGTCTTTAGTGGCAGGTGGTCTTCAGTTAGAGGTCTGCACCGCTCGACCATACATAGACCCATTGCATTCTAGACTCTAGTATGTATGTCAAAATGCAGCTAATGCAATTCCCACCACTTGCGCAATGTCTTTGTTATTTCAGATCACACAACACTCAGAGAAAGAGAGAAAATTTCAATGAAACGAAATCACCAATTCTCTCAGCATCCATTGCCACAGTAGCCAAGCCACGCTGCAACGTAAATTGCGGCAATGTTGCAGTAGCACCGCAGTGTTCGTCAGTGTGACTGGGGTGTGTGATTGCATTTCGACAGAGCCGCTTAGGCTTTGTTTCTCCTTTGAGGAGATACATCGATCAGAGAGCGCTTTCGATGCGCTCTCCGATACGTTCCTACCATATTTGGTCTTGACAGTACTTGAAACTATGACAGCTACAGTGCAGTCCTCAGTGGAAATGAGCCTTCGTTCATTTGTTCAGCTGTAGTATCGAAAGAGTCTGTTCAGGATCATGGAAAAACATCAGGTTTTCAAAGGAACTTGGAGCAACGTATGATTTCCTACATCGCGGTCGCTAGTGTTGGGTCAAAAATCGACATTGGCACAAGAAATGGCGGTCGCTGGTCGAGTTGAGCAGGTAGTCGCTAGTCACAGTGCATTTTGAATGTGAGACCGTCCGTGCCTGGCAAAGTGGTCAGTAGTATCAGGCTGGTCGTTAGTTACAGGTTTTATTGTACAACATTGCCCCAATCCCCCCCCCCCCCCCCCAGGGAGTCGTAAAGCCCCGGGAGAGAGAGAGCACTGTGCAAGAACATGGGTGATGTGTGCCTCGCAATTCCGATGCACCATCAGTTGGTGGGATGCTCTACGAAACACCGCACTGCTTCCACCGCACCACACTATCGGTTGGAGGACGAGCTTAATCGATCTCAAACACAGGCTTCTCCAGGATATCATAGGCATGTGTGCCACTTGGCTTGTTTGTGGAGTGAACGCAGTACGTGATGAAAATGCAGTCTTATCCTGGTTACTAATATCAAAAGGCTTTTGGGTTAGCTGCTTTGAAGATGTGTTTTGATAATCCAAAGTTTCAGCAGTCCAATACAGTACAGTTGACTTCTTATAACAAACTCGCATGTAACTATTATTGTGATTACTAAGTATATCGAACCAATGTCCATGTCTCTGTTTGAACCCATACGAAATTGACTGCTGGTAACGAACTGTTTTTGTTTATAAAAAAAATCATGTATTGTACATGTGAACACAGTGCACTCATATATTCATTGGCCACATGCCAGTCAGGACATTTTGCTTGTATAGTGCGAGCGCATTGCTGCTATAAAAAAACTCGGGCTACAAAACAATAAGTCTCCTGTACAATGGTGCCCACTATATCAACGAATTAATGGTAGTGACTTCGGCAATGATTTGTTGGAAAAGGGTTT